GACAGCTGTTAGAATTGTCTGAGAGGCGTCCCCTTTGCCCAGTAGGTCTACCTTGTGTTTATTTGCTAATTTAAGCCATTTTTAAAAGATAACTATAGTGTATAAAACTCTATCAGCTGTTTATATTAATGGACAATGCACAGATATTGATGTTTCACAGTGTTTTACACTACATTTTCTGAATCAAGCTTAGTGTACAGTGTTTGCACTGCTCTACTTACATTACATCTAAACCCTAAATATCAGACATGACAGCAGATTATTCAGATGTATTAATGTCAGGTTTAATGTTATTGATTAATGCACTTGACAGATTTCATTCATTCATTTTCCTTCTGCTTTCTCCCTGGTTTACCACAGCGGAATGAACCGCCTCTTACTTGACAGATTTCTGTGTTTTTAGTTTCAGGTGGTGTGTGTTTGGTTATATAATCTCTAATTGCATCTTCATTTTCAGCTAATTACACTGTCTTGTCCTGATATGTGGATTTAGAGGGTTTTGCATAAAGCAGACGTGGGTTTAGCTGGTTTTGACGCAAAAGAAAATCTTGTTAAAAACCAAAGAATTGTCTTAAGTGAATTTTTGAAAAAATTTATTTTATTTAGCAGCTAATAACCTTATCACTACATATAAGCTGAAACTGCTGAACCTAATCAGAGGAGCCTGATAGAAAATAATGACCATTTACAAGAATGAGGGGTTTCCATCTGAACTGTGTATATATATATATATATATATATATATATATATATATATATATATATATATATATATATATATATATATATATATATATATATATATATATATATATATATATATATATATATATATATATATATATATATATATATATATATATATAGATATATATATATATATATATATATATATATATATATATAAATATATATATATATATATATATATATATATATATATATATATATATATATATATATATATATATATATATATATATATATATATATATATATATATATATATATATATATATATATATATATATATATATATATATAAATATATATATATATATATATATATATATATATATATATATATATATATATATATATATATATATATATATATATATATATATAGATATATATATATAT